GTTGTTTGCTATGATTATTGTGACTGGCATCTCAAAAATCCAACTCTCCTTTTCCAATAGGGCAAAGTAGTCTTTCTTAGAGCTAAAGAATTGTAAGATAAAAGATCTCAAGACTGAAGCATTCTCAGGTTTAGAAAAGCCTCTATGGGTGTAAGGATGAATATTGCAAGATGAAAACTTGGCTTGGAGAAAATTTGGGAACAAAATGCATTATTTGGGAGGTAAAGTGGAAAATATACATATTTTATAATACTTTAATTTTAAAAATATAAAGTGCCTTTTCAAAGATAATGGTAGAAATGGAATAAACCAAGTTAAAATAGATTAGGGGCTGGGAGGAAGATAAACAGGATTATACAAAAATATCTTGTCATATAAACCTGTCCCTTTATAAAACATACGTGCTATTCATATAGACAGTACTTAGATTTCTTTACAAGCTCAGAACATACTGTGCTTTAACATTTATAATTGAGGGTTTCCTCCAGCAAGATTACTGACATTTATGGTTTTCTGTGAACGGTGTCACAACATCAATATATGAGATTTACAATGAACATTTCTATATTACACAGTGGGGCAGTGTGCAGTGATGTTTGAATGAGAAAGATCATTCTGCTTCCAAACTCAAAAGCATAATAATAATAATAATAATAGCACACATAGACTGCCTTTCAGAACCAAACTATTATCTCCACTTAGTGCTACACCGTAGAGGCACCTGGATCAGTGATATTTCAGTAAACCCTGAATTATGCTGCCTCCTTAAAGGGATAAAGTTTCATATTTTTGGCACTTCATTTTAAAATAATTTTTTTTTCCTTCTTCACAGAGAGAATATTTCTTAAGCTAGGCTCCAAGGTTCAATATTAAACTATCTTAGAATAATTATTGTTTTAACACAAGTGTCAAAAAAAAAAATCTGCCATGGGAAAATTCATATTTCCCTGCTCTTATCACTAAAATTAAACCTTTTTCTCAAATTTAACTATAAGAATAAAAAATAAAACCACACTTAGATCAGGTAGGAAAATTTTGCTGACAGGTTCAGCTCACTCATAAAAATGACAATAAAGACAGGGGTGAGGACTAAATTCCTTTTTTTCTTCTTTTCTTTTTAATTTTAGGGTATTGACTGAGTTGGATGTAGCTCATAAAGTTTTAAATAATATGAAGTGATATCCAATTCAAATATGCAAAACAATTCAGCTCACTTGCAGCGGGCCAGATCCTGCATTCCCATCTGGCACAGACTTCAATAAGAGGTGTTTTTTTTTTTTTTTCCCCTGAAAATAGAATTTGAGATCAGCCTGCCTGCACTCACTAGTCACCCCCGCATGGCTAAACAGAGTAAGAGTTATTTCATCTGCTTACCCCCCTCCTGTCCTGCATAACATGCAGGCATAAAGATGATACTATATGCCAGGAAGAAAACCATGTATTGCTGTTGTGGTGGCATTGATTAGGACCTTGTCATACTTTTTTTATTTGCATTATTTCAGCAAGCACCTTCTGGCTGAAATGAATGACATTAAGTGCACTTACCTTGGTGAAAAATAGGTTCATGGCCACTAACATCTACCACTAATTCGCTGAATCTAACATTCCCCTGCCCAAAAAAACCCAAGACAAAACAAACAAACAAAAACCCAAAAGCACGATAATATATATATATATATATATATATATATATATATATATATAAAAACTCAGAAAAAGAGATTAAAGATAAAGGCTTGGTCATGAATTCATACTCATTACTGATAAATATAATTTAGAAGAAGCCTTTGATGAAAAATAAATGCTGCATTTTCAATAATGAATTTTATTTCAGATGAAGGACTACCAGGATCAATTTGAAGATTCTCAGAAATTCCAGTAGTTGCAGAGCAAACTTTTTGCACGACAGACCTCATCTTTATATTAATCCCTGCCAGTCACAGCCTCCTTCACGGAAAGGTCTCAGTCAGATATGATGGGCAATAAATTGAGAATGAGGTGAAGTAAGAATGAAGAAAGATTTACTTCTGTGGTTTGTCATCCAAATCCATATTCAAGTACTTAAAAAAGATGATTTGTCAACCATAATACATCTTTAGGAACCCTAAGGCAGATGAATTATATCAACAGTGCCACATTATTCTAAATAGAAATCAAATATTTAAATACTGTAAAATATGACTGCATATGGAACATAATCATCAAATGTTAATAAATTGGTCATTTAGGGGGTTTTAATGGCTTTTCAAAAATTCATGATGAAAATGGACTTTTCTTTTCTGGGTTACAGGAATATGAAGAAATACCAAGAATCTCAATTTTGCAAATATTATATACTAGGTCAACCTTACCTTCCCGTCAAAGCTAGTGAGAAGTCAGTTGAGTACAATTACTCACATCCATACTCGTTTGTAGGATGAGGTCAATGTTTGTAAACATTATGCAACCTCATTAATTGCCTTGTAAATAAACACACTTTAACAGCATAAATAAATATGTGGAATAACGAGTGAGTTAACAGTAACACATTATTCCTGGAATTTATGTAATCTTTTCTTCTCTCTGCTTCGGGGTGGCATTGATTTTCTGTGTTTCAGACTCTAATAAATGCAAAACTTCAAAAGCCAGCTCTGAGCTTCACGCAATTTTGAAGGAAAACTGTTATTTGACTCCAGGTTTTCTCAAAGCTGGGCTCAGGTCCAAGCTTACTTGTAAATCTTGTAGAGCTTGCAGGCTGAGCTTGGGTTGTGTATCGGACACCTGAGCCTTCCCATGAGATCCCCAGAGGTAACCTGTGCTCTCATCCATGTTTATGTTCCACTCTGGGCTGCTTCTCCTACCTGAATTAGCCTGTTTAGAGCTAACCTGGGCATTTTTCCTCCATGCTGCAGCACACACATCCTTCCTTGCTCATCTTCACCCCAGAGCTTCACTGAGCTCCATGCAGACCAGCATTTTCATCTAAGTGCTGTTCATTGCAGAACTGGTACTTTGCTGGGAGTCGTTACATAGTTGTAATATTTAGCACAGTAGCCTTGATACTTCAAGTACTGTTTATATGAAAAATAGTAATGTTTTTTCTAGCATCCTTTCCATGTTTCATGAAATATGAAAAATTTCATATTTCAGCTACCATAACATCATCTTGGTACTGCTGAAATCCTTATGATCTGGATGAAGTGCCACCAGACCCATGCGTTGCGCTGGGTTACTGTCATTGAAATTATTATAACGATGTAATAAGGATGGCCTCCTGGAGCTCTGTAAATGATGAATGCAGCCTCACCTATGCATGCATACAGGAAATTACACCAATGATGAAGAAATTCTTCCTACGTTGCCCTGTGCTCTGCATTTACTAATGGTTTACTAATGGGTCTCTGGGCACCGGTGCACATTGAGCGTGAACGCCCTCCCGCTGGGTACCCACACAAGAGCCCTGGGGTCCCTGGTGACTGTGGTGGCCTTGGGATAGGGAAGGGCAGGGGGGAATGTCAGCAGCCCACACTCCTCGTTCTGAATTTCCATGTGCCGCTACAGGATGGGTGCCAGGACACCACTAGTAGAGGAATGACCGCTTGGAGGACTCCAGCGGAGGTGACACATGAAATTGGGCTGACGTTAGGAGATGTGTAAGAAGTAGATGCAGGGGAATCTGAGGAAGAGTCATTCTTCTAACTGAAGTGATTCCCCTTTAGATACTATCTCACTATCCTGTGGGGACACAGCAGTGAGGAAATGCCTTAATCTATACTGTAAGAAGTAGCCTTGCATGGGGTTGGGCAACCTTAGCTCCCACATCTTTCCAGCCTCTTACCTTTGCGCTTTTGCTCCATATGCTGCTTTTGGCACATGAAAAACCTTCCTCCACCTCTTCTCTGCACACTCTTCTTCTCCGGTCCTGCACAACATTCTCCCAGTCTCTCCCTATCTTGCGGTCTCACCTAGGTGTGAGACCTCAGCATTGGTCCTTCTGCCACCCTTAGTATAGAAAAGAAAGCACTTTTGGGTGTCACAGAACTAGCTGTAAGTTAACACGTTCAAGACCCTATGATACAGCAGGAGAGGAGACAAGACCAATAGAGGGTCTGCTCTATTCTTGCCACCTGTTGGATTAATTACCTCAAATGCAGAAAAAAAAGGCACAAAGAACACCAGAACTGTCACTGAAGTTTTAATTGCTTCACTAAATAACCACGACATGCACCCCCTGATCACCTGTCTCGTCTTTGTGCAGACAACACGGAGCTGCTCCCGCGCCGGGATACGCGGCCGCGGATTAAACACGCGCTGGGACAGGAATCTGCCCAGGGCCCCCGCGCGTGAAAGCGAAAAGGAGAGAAGGGGTTTTAAAATATATATAAAATATAATGTATATATATAATACGCATATATATGCCTCCCTGTCTGCAATGCACAGCAGCACACGGTGTGAGGCGGCGGCTGCTGCTGCTGCTGCCGGGGGGGGGGGGCCGCG